TATTAGATGTCCCTTTCATTTAATGAAAATGCTACCTCCAGAGACACATAACATGCCACCCATTAACATGTGAGTTTTAATCATATTATTTTATTCCTCTTCCAACAACAATTCCTATAATCCCTTCCATGTCCCCTTATCAATTTGGCAATACGATAGAGAGGAAAATAAGAAAAAAACTTGTGTAAAATGCAGTCCCTACATATTCTTCTACTAATTTCACAATTACATGTCGTATCGGGTACTTTTCGAGTCCTGACTTACTTAGTACTGTTGGGATATGTTATGGAACTTTTTTTAATTACCAGTAACCTCACATGGCATTATATAATATGTCTAAAAAAGAAGTGATGCTTTTTCCTTTGTTCTTCTATTAAAACATTTAATAATATTTATTTCGAAGTAAATTTAATCGAATTATTTCTATCAGTTCATAACTTCAAAAATATATCTCTAGGTACCAATATTACCTTTTTATCATGAGAAATTTTTCTAATTTTCTTTAAGTCAAAAGTCAGCCCATAAACAGTTTATTTTGACTTTTCTCGAATATTATATAAATAGGTTTTAAATTTTATTAAAGTCAGTCTCTTCACCTTTTGGAGACGAAATCATTTTTAAAACCTGCAATAATTCCTCATGTAGTATTCCCCATTTTACTCCCCTTATTTGAGACATTCTCATATTTTAAATAATTCAATTTCGGTTAATATTCATAATTGGCCAAAATCCTAAGAATTTTACCAATTTACTACATGGGTATTTTCATCATTTGTTACCCCATATAGGCCTCAAAATCTCATTTCTCATTTTTTTGTGGAATTTTTCTAAAATTTTTATACGTACATTCAATCATTATCCTTTCTGATCCAAAACTTTTTAAATTTACGATTAGGTTGTTACTCGAGTTTAGGTTTACGAATCATCTCACTGAGATTATTTGCATAACCTTTGGTCCTTAATCATCTCCAATTCCTATACTCGAGCCCTCGAGACTTCATTGAAGTTCTAACTTACCTGTCTTGTGGTTTCAAAAAACTTTTATTTTGTGATTTAGTCCCTGGGAATCTTCTCATCCTTTTAGGAGACTTTTGAAACTTTTGCCAAAAGGAGTCTAGTAGCTTCCCCATCTCAGGCTAATTTTGGTATTTCTATACCTAAAATCTGGGATGTCACACACTTTAAATTTTATAGAAGCCCCTTCACCCTTGAAGCATTGCCAATAGGGATATTTGTCACCCTAGATGACACAATTATCACCATAATCCCTGACAGCCAATCCCTGTTTAATACTACTTCCAGTTCTTAATATAAAAACTAGTCTTACGTTCAATTTGATCCTAAATATAACCTCAGTTCACTTTGTTTCTTATACTTATCTATTTTTTTAAGATAATCCTTATAGTAGTTGTACATGTTAAATCTTTCATTAAATGATAGTTCTAGCTAATATATACATGATTAGTAAGAGTATTTTAGGGCAGACAACACTTATTTATTACAAATAATTAACTTAACTAATTTTCTTAACCTACTCAAATTAATCAAATTAGTTTTTATATTAAAGACCAGAGGTAGTAACGCAATCATTAGCCCTAATAATTCAAAGTCGAATGGTCATTTCCAATTTTATTAAAACAATAACAGTAATGGTTAAGGACTAGTTTTAAAAAAATTAATTATATGTATACAGTGGGAGAGGACCTGTAAAATACACTCTGAAAGAGCACTAGTTACTTGGTCGTTGTTTCCAATATGAATTAGTCAATTAGAAGACGTCTCAAGCATTGGTCTGGCCTTGATAACTTATTGGGAAAATCTTATAAAATGAGTATAAAATGCTCGTCGTTGTGAGATGCGCTCAATGAGGACCTAAGTGTAATCTAATTCCAAAAGCAATTTAAGCTAATTAAACATATAACATATGAGAGATGTGTTGGAAAAAGCTTATTTTGATAACTTATTTGGAATATATTATAACAAAAAGGTTAATAAAAATAGAATGTTTTTTCTCAACAAAAACCTTCATGATTAACTTTTTTTCTCTTAATTCTAAACATACTGCCCTAAAATGATTTGGTTTCCTATTAAAAAAATATTCTAGCAATCATTTTTTTTTAATTCAAATTCTGAAGTGAAGTGTTTTTTTTTTTTTTGGGTTTTAAACGGTTGTACTAAATTCATGCCTCTTGAAGAGAAGAAAAGTCATATTTTGAAATTTTTTGAACCACAAGAAAAAAAAAAAAAAGGGAAAAAAAGGGTGAGACGTGTCCTATGACTTGCATTCAAGTCAACGACAAGTTGTTCAAGTGGTAGTGCAAGCCATCATGCTTAAACGAGGTCTCAAACATTGCGTTGACCAGTTTAATGTATGTGTACGTCTAATTACTCAAAACTTAAAAAAAAAAAAAAAAAAGAAGAAGAAGAACATATAATTCAAGAGGCAAAGAAAAGCTGGACCACAAGTAAGTAAAGTATAAATAAGTACGCTTGAGTTGAGTTTCCAAGATGGGGTACCGCTTTGTTTGCTTTACATACTATCAGCCTACCAGGATTACAAACATTCAAGTTAGAACCCAATAAACATTTAAGGTTATTCATCAAGTCATAACCTATTAATTAAAAATGTTACTTGTAATACATAGAAGGTAACACTTAACTTAAGGAGGCTTATCGTTATGATTCTAGTACATAGTCTTAATTAACATTGACACATCAACTAATATAGAATGTACAAGCTAATTGGGAGAATGTAATATATTTAATTATAAGTATATTATGTTGTATTTTGTTTTCATTAAAATATCCCAAATGTGGCTCACTAGTCAATTAGACCTAGTTTAAATAAGGTTTAGACTCAGTTTTTTTTAGTTATTTATTTGATCTTGACGGTGGATTGTGCTTTTTATGGTTGACTGAGTACGCATTTGTGAATTATCTGCTGTTGAGGCAATCAGAATACTTTCAGCAATATCCAGATCCCCCGGGGGGACAAGAAGAATACCTTCAAGCATATATAGTTTAATTTAACTATTTTCCGTACTACATCGCCGCCAAGGGTTGTATCATTATATCAAGGAGAGATATACGTATTAATTTTCGGTAGCTTCCAACTGGCACCAAATTTAAATTATTAAAAAAAAAAATGGTCTACAACTTGACCACAATATATATTCTAATTCCTAAATCTCATGAAGTTTGATGACATCCAAAAGCCACATGTTCCTTCAACTTGCCGACCACCACATTACAAAAGGCAATTTGATATTTGTTTAGTGTAGTCCACATCAAAATATCAACTTGACCCACAATAGTCTCTCTCTCACACACAAATATGTATACATGTTCTGTTTTTTAATTTTTTTTATTCTCCACTACCATGGGATTGGAATAAGGATCAGGTTGTGTGTGGAATTTCACCACCAGAAAATAGGCTTAGAGATTTTTGGGTAGATTTGTACTGCCACCCCTGTCCATTCTACTAACGGAAAATAGTCAAAAAGAATAAGAAGGACACTCTGGTCAGCCTTATTATTCTTGCTGATGCGCACCATCTGACAACTTGCCTTTGCCTTTTGAAATTCCTCATATTGCATACAATCTTGTAATTATAAACTAGGATCAATTTTTTTTTTTTTTCGGGTATAAATTCTTGTCATTTTCCGAAGCATACTCAATTTTGCGGTTGATTAAGATGATTGACTCATAAATCGGGGAAAGAAAAATAATCTGACATGACCCCAAAGGGGTACTCGTAGATTTGGCAAATTTATTTGACAAGATGTCTGCGTTTGTACCCAAGCAATACGCAAGTGGAGATTGGAGATTGCCCGCTCACAATAAAGAATTGAAGGGAATTATTGCTGCTTGTCGATCAATTATAGTGTTCTACGAAAATGATCCAAGCGTATTAAACCCTAAATTGTATCCGCTTGCAAACGCAATCAAGAATACACCTTCTCACTACTCTAAAAATTTTCAGGTAGTTTAGCTCTCTTGTCATTAAAAAGAAAAGTACGATTTGGGGAATCAATTCTTAGTTCTTTACACAATGGAAAGAAGGGGGCTCCACCCCCCCCCCGGCCCGTTATCGATTTATTCATAGCAGAATGCAACGTGGGCTAGAATTCCTATTAGGCCCCAGTACTAAGGCCCATAAAATGAATCCAATACTGCATCCCATGCCCACAATTTCAACGTTTGTTTTTCATGGTGGATGCTTCTAGGGGGGCTAGGATCCATTGTGCAATTTATGGCTGAATTCAGCAAAAGGTCAATGTTCTTTCTTTTAAAAGGCTAATTGAACTGATGTGCAGAGATATTGGGAGTTCCAGAAAAGGTTAGAAACATTAATTTATCGCCAGATCACAAATCCCTATATATTACTCTTAACTTCCTATTGGTTGTCCAAAGGCGGCGCCAAATTTCTTCCCATCTGAATGCCTGCAAAACAAACTAGTCAATATTATTAAAGAATCACGCATTTCGTATCATATTTTTACCAAAAATCTCGTAACACAGAAACAACCAAAAACTAATCTTATTCGTGAGTTATATGAAATAGCAAGGCATCTCAGAGCGCTATGCGTAGGATTCAATTTTAACAGAACCCCAATCGATGCCCGCAAATGGATTTTACCAATAACGTTCTTTCAGAATTCCTCTAGCAATCCATTCAGCCTACTTTGGCTTCTCACTACATAATATAGTTGTGCAAGAAAACCACTGGTCCCCCAACAAAAGCCCCTCAACAAAGGTTCCGTCATTCATGACAAACCCCTTTACAAGACAGGTTAATTACATCAGTTAATCTGTACTAATTCAATACTATCATTAGTTAGCGATTAAAAAGAACACTAGAAACAGTAACATCAAGGTCTGGTACTAAGACTAAGGTTTAGCATAATTACTTCGTTGATCCATGTTCATGAGATTCGACGAGTTTTTACGTTGGCTGTCGAGGGCCTAAACAGACCCTCCTCCTTATCTGGGCTTGGGACGGCTATAACAACATAGGCGGAGTTAATAACACAGAATATAATGATAAGGAAATTTTGAAGACCATAAAATGTTACAACCGTCTACACCTTAGGAAGCACTGGAGGGCACACTTCATTTTAAGCAAAGCTTATGTATATCAAACTTGCAATATATAATCAAATGTATTGCCTCAGAGCTTAATTCTAATTCTTTCCTAACCCGATGTAATTCTCATGACTTGATGTTATATGCCATTGTCAATTTTCTTTTGTTTGCTTCGAAAGGAAGATTTAAATTATTTTTAAGCAGTCATGTGGAAGAGCCTACAATCTAGAGATTAGTCTTTTTGTTATCCCTTATTTTTTTTTTCTCTTTTTTTTTCTCCCCATAATAAGAAACAAAATCAAGGATAAATCCATCCACCCAGGAAGGCACCAGAGTTGGCCAAATGTTCAATAAGATTAACTATTAAACATACACAAATCACATTCTAGAATTACCTGTTCGAGGGAAGATGCAAGATTTCTAAGACCATATCTTCAACACTCTTCTGACCATTGTTGTGCTGACCAGAGAACTAGGAAGGACCCAAAAAAAAAAAAAAAAAGGACTACATCAAATAAGATATTTATAAAATGGTCAAAAATAAATTTATCATTTATAAATAGTCCTCTCATTTGATTTGAAGCGGCAGCTTGATAACCTCTTGTGGGATTAATAGGTAAGGAATTGTCCATAGATTGCTGATTCGGCACACTATTCTGTAAATTTTATGGTACAGGATAAGAAAAATTTGAAAATAAAGATAATGGACAGCACAACCTTGCAAGAATCATATATGCACATTTATGTCACGTCAAAGCCAGATATAATTTGCAATATTCTAAACTAATACCCGTATCCTGGTATTATAGAGATGAACGTATATAATGAAGTGACTTGCAATCTCATTAAAGTCGCTCAAAGGCCTGGAAACAACACCAGAGTAGATTTCAAAAGTAAGAAATAAGGAGCAAACAAATACAAACAAATACTATAGGACTTTGCTAATGTAAAAAAAAACTAGCAAACAATCCGTTATAAAAGTATTCACGAAGAATCAATGATAACCCAGGAAATTCATTCAAATAAACCTTTCCATGTCAAATAATGTCAACAACTTGAATTTCAAATGAACAGGAAAAAAAAAGAATTTATAGAGGAATCTCGGGAAGTGATTCAAATGAAGATTAAACTGTTAACAAAATAACAGCTTGGTCTCATTGTTTACTCGATGACATGATCATTAGCCCATTTACAGTTATCACAATAGGACTGGTCATCCAAGTCACATAATTTTGTAGACTTGAAGCAGAGGGCAAAGTGACATAAACAAGGTGTGTTGACTGGACTATTCATCCTACCCCATTATTACTGCCGTAAAGAATTGTCTCAAAAAGAAAAAAGGGTAGAAACAGGGAACTAGAGCTGAAACCAATAGACTGGCCAATTGTAGAAGCCTAGAAGGGTTTAATGTATGAAGGGTCAGAGTTGGTTGAGGAAGCGGATGGAAGACAGTATTTAAGAAGGAAACCTGCCATGGGAAAACGGGAAGAAAATCTTTAAGATAAAGGTTAGGTAGTGAGCTAGACTCTCGAAAGCTAGCACTGGTCTTGCATCATTATCATCTTATTCATTTGTTCTCTTGTTATGTCTCCTCTTATAGTGCCCAGATTGTTCTGCTATGTTACTAATTTCTCGTGCTGAATGAAGGAGTCTTGCCAGCTCCTGTCTTAGTTTCTGGTTTGCATTTGTGATTGGTCTGGAGGTGTATAACTGATGCGTGTGCTTGGTCAGTCGCGTTTTACTGAATCTTGTCGGCACTAGCATGCGTCTGTATAAGACAGTGAATTGGTTTCTGTAAGCTGTCCAAGGAGTACTTCTGCTTCAATGTCAAATATAAGTGTCTTGCAGTGTTCTTTGGGTTATTCTAGCAGGATTTAGCAAGGTTCCTATCATATGCATTTCTCAAAACCCAACCATCTTCACTATAGGCTGGCACTCTGCCAGTATTACATATAGAAGAAAATAAAAAATATTGAACTGCTAAACTGGAATAATTAGACTTGATATTAATGACACACCTAAAAGAGAATACCTTTAAGGTCCTTTTTCCTTGAAAACCTTTCAAGTGTCCATGTAAGCGCACATACATTCCATCCCTGAAACCAAAAAAAGAAAAGGAGTTGCTATATTTCATGGAATGAAATAAGCGTACGTTCAAAAAGAGGTGGCAACTAGAAACATTAACTTTATAAGCCATCTCACAGCAGAATGGCAAATAATGTTTGGACATGTAATGTTCTGAAATTCTGATTAGCAAGAAAATTACCAACTCATAAATCCATATTCATTGTGTCAAGTTACAATGCTAAAAAGTTTGATCGCAATGATCACATAACCGAGAAAAGTTTTTGTTTGAAGAGGAGACTAATGAAAGAAATTAATAAGGTTATGAAACTAAGAAATCGTTAAAAGATAAATTACTAAGCGAATACTGCAGTAGACATAAGTAGCAAAATTACCCGAGACCCTCCGCTTCATTGGTGTCTACATCTTCCTGGAGTCTGCAGATGCAAAATTACCTGCCACTGTGAAAATTTAAAAGACCAGAAAAAGTAAAAAAAAAAAAAAAAGCAAAACACCAACAACAAAAACATCACCATTTACTGCACTCAATCCTTCTAGTCCCATCATCTAGTACAAATCTAACATCAGTAATCCTTCCAGCTTTGTTGCACACCCTTCCTACAAGATGACCTAGATACGATTTTAACCCAAACTATCAGAACAAGAGAAAAGAAGACCACAGCCAACGGTCAATTTGCAATTCAATAGAAACTCACATTATTGACATCCACGCCGTCGATAATCATATTAGACTCATCATCACTTGACTGAAATGCATCATTTATCTGCTTGACCGTCAGAGGAAGCAATGACTGAGCATCACGATTCTGCAAAAGTGAAGCATTAAGTCGGTTCAGAAGTTAACTTTCAACAGTAACAAAGATAATTCGGCCAATAATTTTCACCAATATTCCAAAATATAGTCAAGCCAAAAAGCAGCACAATTAAGTGATTGCTACTTGCTCGGAGGAATTTAAAATAAATAAAAATAAAAAAATAGATTGAATCAACTGTTGCAGTTCAGTTATTAGCAAACCAAAGCACTAATCGCACTTGCCAGAACATAAAATGAGAGTTGTCTAAAAAAAAAAACATAAAATTGGGGGGGGGGGAGTATGCAAAAGATATGGACCTTGGAGTAGGAGAAGGAAGGTTCATGGCCTTGAGTTGCCCGAGACGGCATAAAAACACCGCCGGAGAAGGCTGCGGCGCCGTCTAACTCGCTCGAATGCATGCTTGTTCTCCCTCTGTGTGCAGTTGGGAAATCTTAACCCTAATAGCAGAGAGCAACGAAACAGAACGCACTATTACAGATATTTGAAACTCAAATTTCTATGGAGCATCTATGACTGGCGTGGTTTTAAATTCTTCGGTACGAAAATGAATTAGTTTCGCGCCCTTCTTCTTCCACTATCCTCTAGCCTGAACTAACTCCGCTTGGCCTTATATTTTCGTCTCTTTCATTTGGGTTAAAAAAAAAGAGATTAAAAAATTAAAATTAGTTTTTTGTTTTGGTCTTTTTATTACAATGCTACAAGTAATATGCATATTGATATTTTGTATTCCCTTATTCCAAGCTCAAATTCTCTAAATTAACCCCTTTTTTCATTTATAGTATTTTATTTTAGCCTTAACTTTGAAATAATTAAACTCAATCTCTAATTTAATATATATATGTATTGTTATCATATTTTACTTTTTTCTTTTTATTTCAAATTTTATAACTTTCACCTTATTATTTGTTCAATTATCTCTCACATCATTATCATTTTTTCTATTATATTTATTTTCTTTTTATATCAAATTCTAACTTGGTTAAAAGTTAAAACTATAGGTTACTATAATAAAAGTATGAAAATATTTAAAGACAGCTGATACTCATATCACTGACTTATCAAGTGGAAATAAAATTTGTAAGTACAGCCTTAATTAAATATTTCCTTTCAACCGTTCAAAACTAGCTCTTGTAAACGTTTCTAAGCAATTTCGCTTTAAGGTTTTTTTTTTGTGATTTTTTTTAATAAAGCTAAACAATTTAATCGTAAAAAACATCTTAATTAGTGTACTTTTAAATGACCAATGGCCAGTTAAGAACCATCAATATTTCGTTATCTCAGCACAAATAAGTGTCACGGCCATCTTTAAATATATTTTTGTCACGGCCACAAATAGTGTATAGATCATCGAAGCTGTCAGCATCATCAGTCGACTTACAAACAGAATCACAACTAGAAAACTCATATGCCTCCCCTGTCAGTATATAACACCTATGATCATTGACCTGATTAACCATTTCAATTGTTGGAGCAAGTATGGCCCTGTCATTAAAGTACTCATTTGACGCTAAATTCTGAAATATCCCACCATATATTGATTTAACAATTGTATCCACTGGGTTACCGTTAGTAGGTAGCAATAATTGCTCTGGGATTTCAATCTCTGCAACTCCATCATGTGCTTCGCCAGTATTCCCATCACTCACATCTAGTAGCCATCTCGAGAACCACTCTAACTTTGTTTTATCAGCTTTAGAAGAAGATAAAGTTAATCTCATATTTTTGGTCAGGTGGAAAATAACGTAGTGTTTCCATAGATGTGATGACCTAATACATGCATCAATAATACTACCTCTTGTACCTTTGGGAGTTACAGGAAGTATTTGACGGAAGTCACCATTCATCACAATACATTTTCCACCAAAAACTTGATTGCTCTACATTATGTCTTTAAGTGTTCTATCAAATGTGTCAATGCAAAATCATTGGACCATTGGCACTTCATCCCAAATAATGAGCTTCGTGCATTTTATCAAATTTGCTAATGCAGAGTTTTGCTTTATGGAACAGACAGAAGATTTAGAAATTTGTATTGGAATGGCAAATCTAGAATGAGCTATCATTCCGGATGGTAACAAAGTTGCTACAATTCTACTGGAAGCAACTGTAAGCACAATTTGACCTTTTGCACTCAAAGTTTATGTTAAAGCACTCTATAAGAATGTTTTCCCAGTGCCCCCACATCCATATACAAAGAAGAAACCACTACCAAGGACATTTAACGATGCCATAACATCATCACATATACGCTTTTGATCATAATTGAGAGCTTTGATGAGTTCATTAGCTTGGACTTGTAAAGCATCTCTGTCATAATTCAATTCTTATAGAATAAAGTGATTTGTCACATCTATGGGGAGACTTCCTGTTGGTAAAGCAAGGTTAGGAAAATCATGAAGGCTCCTACCATTTTGGCGTAACAAATTATCAATTTCTTGTAGTGCCACATTTTCCTTATCAGACAAAGATATATGGAGACCTGCATAATATAGTTATAACTACCAGTTAATTCAAGTACATAGGAATGGATAAATAAATAAAAATTTTCAATATAATAACTTACTTGAGAAGCTAGGATCATTATGAGGGATGTACAATAAGTCTTCTGATAGAAGTTGTGATGTCTCCTTCCACACATAATCAGAACGTTGAAGCGAAAAGCATAGAACCATACTGACAAACAGTTTGCGTAAAATACTAATCATTAAAAAGTATTAAATTTATAAAATCAAATACAAAAACAGTATGGACTTTTTTCAAGACCAAATAATTCTAAGAACCATTATAAACCAAAAAAGATGAAAAAAAAATACTGATTAAAAAAAACATAAGCATTTAATCATTTATTGTCTTACCCTGCGGCGCCCTTTTAGTGGATTTTGGGGCTCCACCTCTTCTCCTTTCAAAAGCTAAGCTGAGAGATTTTGTTTCTTGGTCTCCTCTCTGCATTTCGGGCAGGTTCACAAACTGTTTTAGGAAAATAAAAGAAAGGAAAATCTAATAGGAACAGAGAATAAGTATTTGACTCATCTATTTCTTAATAGCCAAAGAGACTACAAGGGATAAAAATGAATGGTGGCTAATCTACTTATACACTAAAATTACATAAAAATAATTAAATAAAATCCAGAAATAATTCTTAAAATCTGGGGACTGACTCCAATAGCTAAATAATAACAAATTTGATGGTGGGATCCTCTTAACAGCAATATAGATACTTATTTGACTCTTCAAATCCCTGAAACAATAATTCAAATTATTCAATAGCAAAATAAGGAATTTAAAGAAAACAACTACGGAAATGCTAATTAATCTTCTGTCGCTTTCTCCTTCTAACAAGTTTGCATGGGCTTCTTATCAATTTCTCTACCTATAAAAGCACAGAAGCAAAACTGTTGACCTTGAAATCTTTCTAAAGAATAAGGTAACTCAAATTAACAATAATCTATTAACTATTTTCCCTCCTTGAACTAAAACATTAATCGAATTTAACCCTTAAAAATGGTGCAAAATAAGATAGTTTCAAGAAGTCAACCATACTTGGTGATGGTGGATGCTCCATCTATTCATCAAATGAGTCGTAATATTTCAAGTAAACTACTGTCCTTTTCACAGTGAACCCACTACCAAAAGCTACAATCACCTCGACTTGGTCATCTGAGTCAAGATTCGATATTATTTCCTTCAACTCTGCTTCTTCAAATGAAGTTAGTGAATCTAGCCTGTGGTGCAAAATGGTTGTCTTCGTATAATTTATGATCATTACACAAACACAAGATTCACATGCCTTGTTACCCAAATCACCTGAAGGGAAATATGCACAACAAATAATCATCCCTTTTAAACCATGATCGCTAACTCGAGGCACTTTAAACTTTACAGAAGCTCTTTCACTCTTGAAACTTTGCCAATAGGGATACTTGTCACCAGGAAGGACACAACCATCACCATAATTCCTGGGAGTCAGTCCCTGCTTAATAGCATAAGCAGCAGCTTAGTTCAACTATATAGTTAGGCAAGCGTAAAGGTCATTTCGAATTTTATTGAAGACTTGTATATAGTAGGAATGAATTTCTCTTCTTTTCACATAAAAAAATAGATGAATTAAAAAGAGAACCTGTGAGATATTCTCCAGAAGAGTAGCAGTGACTTGGTCATTCTTTCCAATTTGAATTAGAAGATGCCTCAAACAATTTTCTGACCTTGAGTTGTGAACCTGACTATGATGACCATTTAACACCAAAGATTCAATCTCAAAGATTTTTGAAGTATTTGGTATTGTTGCCATGTCCATGCAAACTCTGGCATTAAAGGACTCCCAAAGTTTTGCAGCACCTCGAATTACTTCAGGGTCATTCTCCGACATGATTTCCAACAAAAGGCTTCGTAGCTTTGACAGGTTATTACGGGCAGGTGAAAGACCAGGGATATTGCTATTCAGTATATCTGAGGAAATTGGCATTTCCACAAGTGATGGAATAAGAGATAAAGGATTATTTGTTGGGGACATCCTTGACCAAATGAGAGAAGGAAACACATCACGCGGTAATCCCCTATAGCCACAAAGAGATATATATCCAACACTTTTTAACCTCACTAAAGATAAGGGCACTTGTGTTATTGCGGTGTCATCAGCAACCAAAGTTGTCAAGGAATCCATTTGCTCTATATCTTCTTCTAACTTTTCAATCCCTATACAACCTGATAGGATAAGAGTTTTTAGTGACTTTAAATTATAAATACTTCTTGGGAGAGTGAAAAGGCTAGTGCAATCCTTCAAGTTTATTAGAAGGAGTTGATTGGCATGCCCAATAGTAGGATGAACCATGGACAATTTTGGACAATTTTTAAGAATCAACTTTTCAAGATTCGGTAGTTTTGAGAAGTCAGGAGTCTGCATCAAGAAAGGGGAATGACTACAATTTAGGATTTTTAACCTCTCCAATAACTGCAAGAAAAGAACATTAGAGAGAAAATTAGTGAACAAACCCATAAAAAAACTAAATAATCAACCATGAATTCTGGTATTACTATCAAAGGCTAATTCAAAAGCCCAGCATTAGAGTTAAAATAAGCGTGCAGGCAATTAACAGCTTGTAAACCACTTCAATGTTTGGCACGTCTAATAGAAATATTGTTTTACATCTTGTTAAAAAAAAAACCAATTAGAAAACAACAAGACATTGAGTGCTAATGCTTTATTTTAAGGGTTTTATGAAAAAAGAAAGTAAATTGGGGGAAAATTTAGCACCTATATTCAAGAATACTGATGAAGGAAGCTTCATCCAGAAGCTGTTATTAGAAAAGTCTTAATAAAGACCCATCTAGAAGTTACATGGTGAAACAAAATCTAATAATTAATAAAGTTTATTCTTGATGCCAACAACAAAGTATCCATACCTGAGGCTCCCTCCAAACTTGTTTGAGGCTATTGTACTTTAACTCAATAGCAACTAAATTTTTCTGGTAAAGGTTAGCAGGGATGTATTTCAAAGGAAAGCCACGCCAATAAAGCCATCTGAGATCCCTACTAATGTATTTATAGTCTCCATCAAGTTCCACATTACCAAGGCGAAGCAATCTGAGTGCTTTCATCTGCTTAAATGTGTTGGTACAAAAACAATCTTTATTGGTTTGTGACAAATTCAAAGCTAGCCCCTCGACAAATCCTGTACCCTGCAAATAAATAGCATATAAAATTTGAAGTTTCTATCTCTATTATTTATTTACTGAAAGGCAAAATGTAAACCTATGTCACAAGCAAATTTTTAGAGCAAGTAACCAAAGCGATGACTTTTAAAAATACACAATGTCTGCCCAGGAAAAATAAACCACAAGTATACCAAAATGCCCAATTCATTCATGTTCAATTGGCTTCCCAAGCCGTTTTACTTTTTAGAAGGAATGATAAAGATACCGTAGGAAAGTACTTACAGTATGTTTTGATAATACATCATGCACATCTTCATGAAACCATAACCTACTACGCTTTCCAAGCTCTTTAGGTGATTGTTCTCGGATTATCTCCCTCCCCATATCTCGTAACAAATCATGCATCCCTAGCTTATTCTTCTCATCAACAGTTACAAGGCTCCGCTCCACAAGGACACTAATTCCAATGTCTGGGAAAAGACCACAACCATCTAATATTTGTGTGACATCACTCCTATACATCCCAATAAAGAAGCAAGATACATCAAGGAAGATTTCTTTCACAATATCATCACCTAAACCATCAAAACTTATTCTTAGCTTCTTTTGTATCTCATCATTGGGGATTCTTTTTAGTTTGTCCAGTACACTTCTCCACTCTTTCTTCGTCCTCTCAAATAGATAGGAGCCTAGGATTTCAAGGGCTAGAGGTAGTCCTCCAGAATAAGCAACTATATTTCTAGAAAGGTCAATGAATGCCTCTTTAGGACTTAGTTGCTTAAATGCATGCCAACTAAAAAGTTCAATAGATTCACTTCTGTCCATTTCCTTTATTTTATATACATGATCCACTTCAAGGAGTTCGAGCAGATGCCTATCTCTAGAAGTGATTATTATTCTACTTCCTGGACCAAACCAGTCGCGACTTCCAAATAAAGTGTTTAGTTGCTCAACCTCATTCACATCATCAAGCACAACAAGTGCTTTCTTATGGCAAAGAGACTCCTTCAATGTGATTTTTCCTGAATCAATGCTACGTATTACCACCATTGTTGTTTTACTGATTTCTGAATAAAGTTGTTGCTGCAGGCTAATTGGACCATTATCTTGCCCCCATACTTCCCTAATGTTTGAAAGAAAGCTTCTGCTGTCAAATGTTCGACCAATTTTATTATAGATGGCTTTGGCGATAGTTGTTTTGCCGATGCCCCCCATCCCCCATATTCCTAGGAGGAGAACATCATTCATTGAATGGCTTTTTGATATTTTAATCAAATCTTGCAAACGAGAGTCCACTCCTACAGGATGGTTAGCAATAAACAAGTCTTTCTTGTCCAATATTTTACAGACATGCTCAACGATAGTCTTGATATCCTTACTTTCATTCCTAAAGTATAAACAAATTATAACAGAAAATGAGCACCAATAACATAAGCAAGAGTGTAAAAAAAAAAATTGTCAAGCTATTAATGCAACATGCATCAAAATTAGTGCAGACATTATGAACAAACTAGAAACCATAGTGGCAACTATGACACTGCAATCCCCTTGGGACTGGAAATGTCAATATCAAACTTTAAGTAGCAGACTAACATGCAAATATCAAATGAAAGTTCATCATATAAAAACATGATGGCTTTGAGATCAATAAGAAGACAAATACATTACAAAGACCATGCGTTTAAGATATTAGAGTTGAAAACTAAGATCACAAGAGAACATTCAATCAGGTCCACATGAAAAGGCACTTGCAAAACACACAAACAAGCGATTGAACTCAAGGGAACATGGGTGACTTAAAAAAAAATAGAGAGAGAGAGAGAACGGGGGAACAGTATGCTACAGTTCCCTCTTATCAACAAAAACAACATGCAGAAAATTTTCAATTAGGACAAGTCAACAATGTGAGAGGATCACCACAGATCACTGGTGGGGAGAGTGAGAGTAGAGAAAGAGAGATGATGAACCCACAATAAAATGTGAGCCCTGCATCTCTATTTTCCTAACTTTCACCTCTTGTCACTGGAAGGAATCTGAGTTTATCAATTACAAACACTAAGGTTTCATCCGGTTTCAAAATGGATTCCTTAAGGGATGTGACCAAAACAAAGGGTCATTTTAGTACAAAATCAGAAATTGATGGAACGCAAGCAAAATAATGGATATCAAACACTGGTTTATATTAAATATCAAAGTGTTTTTCCCTTTAATGGAATGAAGGGGAGTTACAATAGAAGAAAGCTTAACACAACACTAATCCCAAGGGAGAGATACTAGAACAGAAATAGAAAGTGATGAAGCAAGATGACCGTACTCCCACCCCAACCTGGCATTTGACAGTGCTAGAGCTCTCCTCACCACATTCACAATACAAAATAGGTCCCACTACCATTCAAGATGCCTTTTTGGTTAAAAAGAAGCCAAGAGTAACTAACACAATCCCCAAAACACACTTTAAACAAAAGACAGGTCTAAAACACGCTAGAGCACTCTAACTTGCTGCTTCTTTCTTTAGATTTGTGGGAGTCTTAAAGCACCTTTCCTTTTGCTTTTATTGTCTGGTCAGCAGAGATGACTGTATCAGAAACCAAAAGGGAAAACTCTCTTCTTAAACACGCAACACTTTATTTCCAACAAAGCCACTTGCCATTACCAAATATGGTAAAAATATTTTTTCCAGGGACCAATTACTAAACATACCTTAAATTTTATAGGGAACAAATTGAAGTGAGTGGTCCTTCCTGTACTAAAAATAAATTTTATCTCTTGCTTTTATAGATCACTGCTTAAGTATTAGTCCTTACTTTAAGGCGCAACTTTTAATGCCAGAAAAGAAAATTACAGTGGCAACAAAAATATCAATTTGAATAATTTACAGCATCATGAGAATAAATGACGTCAATTTGACAAAATCCAAACAATAATTTAAAACATAACATAACATCATTTCTACTAATGAAATCGCTATAATTTATTTATTTTGGAAAAAAAACTAGTAAACCAAATTATTTTGCCAACTAATAATGCACTCAATATTTTTTTTTTGGGGTTAGAATAATGCACTCAATATTTGACTTGAAAACTTTCAGTTGCTTGTCAGAACTCCACCCCAGCACATTGATTATATAAAGGTATCAATATAACACTAACTCTTTTAATGTATTGCTGTTATTTTTACTTGTTAGACATAAAATCTTCTCATATACAATATAACAAGCGATTTGCTGGCAAAAAAAAATTACGTGACTAATGGTGCACATTGCAGCAAGAATCTATCGTGTCTCTGTTTAGGCTTAGCAAAACTGAAAGGAAATATATAAACGAAATATTTAAAAATTACTTGGAATTGAGCACAACAAACCCTGCAATGCCCCCAGCTTCACGTAGATCTATCCTCCACCTCGACACTTCATTTTCTGTGGGAGAACTTCTTTGTATAAGATCTCGAAACGCTGCTCCAAAACTTGACATTTGATTACGAACTTCAGACGGATCCACATCATAGAACACAGGCAGAATTACCCGACCTAGTACTCTATAAAATTCCATAATTTTTGAGAGCTCATTGAGACACCATTTAGAACCAGCATAATTCTTGGAGAAGATAATAATTGAAATTGTAGAACGTTCAATTCCACGTGGCAATTCGATTGAGATGTGGTTTCCCCGAGGAAGGTCCAAATCATCTTTGAAAACAAGAATTCCAACATTGCTTAGAGCGGAGTAGAGATGAGAAGTAAAAGATGCCCGAGTGTCTTCACCTCTGAAGCTCAAGAAAACATCGTATTGGGCCCTATCAAATGATTTTTTTAGGCCAAGATCAAATGAATATTAATATCAAAAAGTACAGATTGCAATTGCAATTTAATTTCAAGAAAAATACAATAAAATAAAATATAGACTTTGACAATCCTAATTTTAATATCAGATGATTTAGTTTCAAGAATATATACTACCTCCGGTCTTTAATATAAGACCCTATTTGACTTTTATCTTGATTCTAAATATAAGACCCCAATCCACTTTGTCTCTCATATTCATACATTTTTTTTTCCAAAATAGCTCTTCTAATAATGATAGTTCTAGTCAATACACTTGATTAGCAAGGATATTTTAGGAAAGACAACACCTATTTAGAACAAATAACTAACTCAACTTACTTCCTTAATCTCCTCAAATTAGTCAACTAGCTCTTATAATTAGGACCAGAGGTAGTATATTAAAATCCTTACTGTTTAGGGTTTTGATTAAAAAATTAATTTTCCAGACATTTTATAATTTCAACTAACGGCAGAGAGGCAGAGGTACAATCCTTATCTATCTAGTGCTCTAACTAAATCATCTAGTGGCCGTATAATGACGTGGAATCTATCCATGGCATTCAGGCCCATGTAGTCAACAGGTTTGTTGTTGCTCCAGGGGTGTAATTCAGTTGAACCTTTATACTCCCTTCGTTTTTTATTATAAGAGACATTTGATGCTTATAGCATGTTTCTGTATATAAGAGACACTTAAAAGTTGTATCTACTTTTTTATGTTGATTTCCTATTTTACCCATATTTATTATCTCCAACTCACACTCTCTCTCCCTCCCACTTCTCTTTCTTTCAATAATTTAATTATTCTCTCTCTCCTTATTAATGAGGGCATTTTTGAAAAAAATTATACTTTTTACACATTAATTATTCTTAACTAATTTTAACTATTTTTTTATCAACGTACTTTAGTTGTTTGTCTCTTATAATAAGAAACGGAGAGAGTATTTCATAATTGCACACACCTGATAAAATATTTCGGGATGCTAGTTGCATCTTAACCCTAATATTTCTTAATGATTCTTTTTGTATTTGAAAGTAGACACTTAATCTTCCAATGAATCTCAATTTACAAATTTAAATATATAAAATTAATGTGGATTTTTAAAGGAAGGCTATTTTGCTATCTATAAACCTTGGAGCAGTCTTAGGAAGTCACTTTGCTACCTAGACGTTTCATGGCACGGGACCTCTCATATTCTTTCCCATCCTCTTCCCCAGTCGTGACCGTTAATTTCATCTAAGGGCTTAAAACCAGCTCACTTATCATAGCATCGTCCTTTTACGGAGTTTTTTCAGACTTGGAAGTGCCCGCGATTCAGCCCTTCGATTGTATTATATATCAGCATTACAGCAAAACAGCCATGGCTTCCACCTTCATGAGACACTTTGGGCTTTCTAGCTTTGATCTTACAGGCTCGGACAATCCTAGAGCACTAGTGTCCATATTTGATAAATTTTTCATGAGGAATAAATTGAACAAGTACTGTATCATGGACAGATTGAGATGCAACTTTCTTTGGTTTTAAAACTGAAAAACCTAACTTTTATTTGCGATTGAAGCAAAAATAAATCAAAAAAATTAGTGTTGAAAGAAAGGAAATTAGCAGTCATGATTAGGGAAGAGGATGGGAAAGAATAGGAGAAGTTCTGTGCCGGACATTTCACCTTATTTATAATTTTTGAAGGTGCGGGAGATCAGGGAAGAGGATGGGAAAGAATAGGAGAACTAAGCTCTTCACAATGCACATGATTAATGTTGGTAGAGAAGATAACTTGCATTTCGGAGGCATTAACCTTTAGAGCTTTGGCAAAACATATCTAAACAAGCCTTAATAAGTTATGACCGTCCAATCGAAACCTTTACAATAAGAGTGATATTATCTATAAAGAACAAGTGGGATATTAGGGACCATTTTTTGTGAGACAGAGTAGCTGCCACTCCTCAATCTCCATTTTTTCTTGAATAAGATGGGCCAACATCTTAACTGCAAAAGATCAACACTCAGATTCGAGTAATGTTGTATTAAAATCATTGCTAAGAATCCATGATTTATCAATGTGCTCTCCCAACCTTGAAAGTTCTATCTACAAGTTTTGTCTAGTAAGGACATCCAGTACAACATAAACAATGGTCACACACCATGAGTCTCGCTTACTATTTTCTATTCTTAGATGAAGAAATTGTATGTGTCTTTCTAGAACCTCTACCCTTCAAGCACTTGCACCCTAAAGACACCAAATTCCTTTACTAAATTCTTTAGTGTTAATGAAGATAAAGTCTTGGAAGCCAAGATGAGATATTCATTTCTCACCCTTACTTTTATCCAAACAAGTTTCAAGTAAAGCTAGAAAATCCAAATGATAATGCTTTTGAAGCTCTTGTGGAAACTAGGAGATGACTTCAACCTGTTATCCCTTGAATTCCATATCATGAAATTCATAGGGAAACAATCTCACAAGATGATATGGTTTTGTTGTCCAGCGTTTGGACGTCATCCTTGTTATAAGCTTCCTACTTGTCATCAAGTTCATTTGAGAAATGCATCGTCAATGTTCCCTCATCTCCTTTGCAATTCGGCCCTATCCCAGGTCCACCTGTATCGATATTTTGCATGTGAAAATCATACACCAGACTAGTATCCATCTCGTCTAGAGTGGGTCCATAGTCGGCATATTTCTTGCTAAAAAAGGCTTTTTCACACCAGATGGACCCACTTGGAGAGCATTAAAAGAGTTGCGGACTTTCATGGGTCTATCTATTCTCAAGCTGGGTTCTTTCTCTTTATATTTCAACTTGCTAGTACCCATATTCTCTTTACCTTGTGGGCTTTTCCTCACTTTTATGTTTAGAGCCATACTAATCCAACCTATTTCATTTATTAATTTTCTTTACAAACTTCTTACTTATAGCTCCTTATGATCCTGACAATTTCTCTGTTTTTCCTTTTCTGACTCCCCTAAGTTTATACCCAATTTACTATTAGCCCTTTTCATAATCCCATGATAATTTTTAGTCGCTTCATTCTTGCCTAATCCTTTCATATCTATAGCCACAACTTCTCCATGAAAATCTCACCCAATCAACATGTAAGGCCCTAGGTGATTGGTGGTTTCTGGCGAGACACCTCCGACGAACACATTCTGACTTTAGTCTTCTTTGCCAATCATTCTTCCTTTCTATGTCCTTTTTGTTATCCGCTTTTCAAGTGATTACTATTCATCAACTTCTATTTACTTTGCAATGTCGAGCAATTGTGTTTCTCATGCCCATATAGCCCACATTCAAAGCAAACTTGGTGAAAACCTTCATATGCAATCTGTCTATCCCCTTCGAATGTCATGTATGCTGGGAGAAAAGTTGTTGAAGATCAATCTCTATACATATTCGAGCAAAGCCACCCTTGTCATAGATAAAGGTGGATCTATCTACTTTCAAGGTCTTGCCCCCCATGTTTCTAATCATCCATAGTTATTCCACGTTATGACACTCTACCGACAAGTTTGGTACCCGTATCCAAGTGGCTATTTTCCTTTACGTGTCTAAAGACTAAAGTTAGGTCTCTAATATTGCACCAATAAGTAATGGTCATCAATCATTTAAGGTTCCTTTTGAAAAGCATAATCACGCTCCTCCTGACTTGTTTATTAGACAATATAATAATCATTACTAAGAGGCACAACCTTCATTTGTTCCTAAGGCCTCCACATCCTTTTCACTCAGTCCAAAAGAATGTTCTTTGACAAATGAGCCGCTAGCACTTTGATAATCAAAGAATTCAACCAAAGCTAACACTAGGTAGCATAGCACTCCACCAGCAAGTTTGATATCCGTATCCAAGTGGCTATTTTCCTTTGTATGTCTAAATATTAAAGTTAGGTCTCTAATATTGCACCAATAAGTAAAGGTCATCAATCATTCAAGTTTCCTTTTGAAAAGCATAATCTCAATCCTCCCAACTTGTGTATTAGACAGTTTAATAATCATTACTAAGAGACACAACCTACATTGGTTCTTGGGGCCTCCACATCCTTTTCACTCAGTCCAAAAGAATGTTCTTCGACAAACGAGCCCCTAGCACTATGATAATCAAAGAATTCAACCAAGGCTAACACTAGGTGGTATGCTGCTTGGCAGTTACCACTAACATAAGATATTTACTTTTACTGTCAGAGCTCCTTATTCCTTCTTCATATGAATCATCCTTTCCCTATGTAGCCTCCATGCTTTCGTTCTTCTTTGCAAAGAATGCTTTCTATCCCTTCACAATGTCTTCCTGTTCAACATGTTTCACAAGGAACCTAGAACATCCTGATGAAAGAAGCTTTTCTTTATAAGAGAATGCACCCAAAGAACCAATACCAGTGTCTTCTCTCCTACCTTCCTAATGTCATCTTTTCCAAACACAAAACTCGTTGGCATTAAAGGTCGATCCCAATCGTTGTCTAGCTCTCCCCCTTCCCCTTTATTCCCATCTTCACTCTCTTTACTTTCATTCACCGCCTTTCCGTCACCCTTCGTTCTTTGCTCTCGTCTCTCTTGCTAGTTCTTTTTGGTGCTGCATTTTGAAAAGGCGGCCTTATAGCTGAGATGATTCCTCCATGGCAGCAAGCCACCCAAGACAGATCCTCCATGACAGTTCGGTTAGGTTCACTAACCGAAATGTATATATTTTAAATACCGATCCGAAACCGAACATTAGCTGATAGGCGAACTGAATTAACTGAAATAATATAGTTCAGCTATTCAATTTATTCGGTTTTAGGGCCTTTTGTATTGCAATAAAACTTTCTAGTTATTTACTATATTAGGAACTTAAATTAAAAATATCACTGGATTAGACTGAAGAAACAATAGCAATTCAACTAATATTGGGTTTCTCATATAAAAATTCAATGATTACATGTACGTGTGCAGCTTCAATATTGAAATCCTGGAACAAAATCAAATATATATTTAAAGCCAGATGTCTCAAGGATTTAAGGAGAGATGAATCTTGAGACATGACCGCAAGCTTAACCAATTGTCGAATACAAGGAGATGGAGAGGAGAGTAGAGATTGTGATGCGGTGAAGAATTTAATTAGACTGAAGAAGAAGACTACGATGGGAGCAACTAATCTGTGACTAAATGAGAAGATGGAACTGAAGGAGAAGAATGTGATGGGAGCAACTAAGCTATGAAGCCTGAAGCGGTGTGGGGCGACAACTCATGAGGAAGAAGATGTGGCTGCCATATAAAAGATACTCCCTCCGTTCCTTATTATAAGAGACGAATAACCGAATTACGTTGATCAAAAAAACAGTTGAAATTAGTTAAGAACAATTAATATGTAAAAAGTATAATTTTTTTTCCAAAAATGCCCTCATTAATAAGGAGAGAGAACATAAGAGAAAACAATGGTAATTTATTAAAAGAAAGAGAAGTGGGAAGGAGAGAGAGTGTGAGTTTGAGACAATAAATATGGGTAAAATAGAAAATCAACACAAAAAAGTAGAGACAACTTTTAAGTGTCTCTTATATATAGGAACATGCCATAAGCACCAAATGTCTCTTATAATAAGGAACGGAGGGAGTAATAAATAATCTTACTTTAGCTTCTAGGGTTTAAGATATATTGGGCTAGGTTTAGATACATGCTTGGGCCTCTATGGATATCACTTACTTGTTTCATGTTCTATGTAGAGACATATAAATATATATCTATAGAGACACACACATATATACGTATATATAATATTATATATTGACAAAAAATATTATATATACTTATAAATTTTAGTTTTTCGGTTTGAAACTGAAATTTTTTTTCATTAACCAAATATCAAAATAATCAAAACGGAAAACTGAAAATGCATTTGGTTCGATTTTGTGATCAGTTACGGTTCAGTTTTACTTTCCCTTATTCAAGATGTAAGTGCTAGTTCTTTAATTTTATATAAAATTTTAATTTAGTTTAAGAACTAAATTACAATCGAGTATTGTTTTTTCAATTTAGTATATTACTATTAAACAAGTTTAAATTTAAATTCTTAAACTACATATTCATTTTAATTTATATGTTTATTACATTCATTTGAAATCATTAATTGATATTAAGAGAAGAAAAAGAAAATTATTTCCTAAATTAAATTCAAAAATTAATTATTTTCACTAATTCCCACATCACTATTTGCATAAATTTAGTTATCAAATTTATGTTAAGGCTTAAGATAACGTAAATTTATAGGTTGTTGGCAAAAAAGAAACGTAAATTAATAACTTAATTAATATTTATCATTTAAACAGAACGGATTAAATAAGTATAAGTATTTATCATTAAAGTTTTTAAAAATAATAAACTTCTAAATTTGGATGTTGGAATAATTTTTTCTTTAAAAAAGTATTGTTTTTGCAAATAAAAATTAAAAGAATAATGACAACGTTTTAGGTGTAAATGTTTATTA